GGTTGTCCAAAGGGAGGAAAGAGACTGAAAAGATCACAAAGACCAAACTCGAGTGAGAATTTCATTTAAGCACATTCTATTAATTTCGTTGATTCAAGGTTAATCAACAAGTTGTCAGGGAGCACATGCTGCGTGTATACGTTAAAGAAGCAAACTAGTCAGGTTAGATGTCTGAAAAGTAAGGGGGAGAAAAAAAAAATCAAAGGACTCCACCAACAATCTATATAATTATCATCATCTGCTGCCTTTCCTCCCTGGCAGAAAAACACTCCATCCATTTGTAGAAATCGCCCGGGGGAACGTTACATCAAAACTAATCATAACGATTAAAATCAGCTTCTCTGCGAGACCGAGGCAATAGGCAAGTTGGAGGCAGGAGGGGTGAGGGTGTTGTAAATGCAGAAAGAAAAAAAATATTTGATTTTATAAAAACATAAACTCAACAAAGACTGAGGCACTGCTGCTGTGATCTCTTTCTTTGCTCGCGGTTTTATTTTGCAGATTGGTTTAGACTGGGGCAGAGACATGAGCTAATTGTATCCTGATCTTTGCCTTGAGGGGTTTCGGAGCCCTGGAGCAAGTATTCTCTGTATTTTGTTCTGTCTACCTTAGCCAAGCTATTGCATTTCTCACTGGTGTAGGAACAGAGGCAGATCGTGGGCCAAATCGGACGGAAAAGGTGCCCAAAAAGATACTTTATGCCGCTCTATGTTTCAGGTAAGCGAAGATTTATTTGGTTTGATTTTATTCCCGAGGTTGGATGGACTGGGACATAGAGGCGCTGCAGCTTTTACGCATGTGCCAAGCGATTCGAGCGGTACAGTTCTTAAAAAATATTTAACCACTTCCTGGCTATTGTCTCTTACTTACTGTACAAATGTATGCGCGTGACTACAATGTAGGACGTTCTGGTGCATCCAATCTAAACGAACAGCGGGCTCAGACTGTGATCTTGTCGAGCAAAGACTACTTATCCACCGTGTGAATTCGCTCCTGGCGCGTTTCAGCTCGGAAAACATCGCCGTCTCCGTGTCTGCTGCTGCTGTGCAACTTGCTCGTAACTTACTTAAACCCGCGTTTGTCGTTTTCGTAAAGGTTTTTCGAAGTGAGTTTTGTCGTGAAACACTTCCATTTCCTGGCTGCCCTAGATCTTCTAATGAAAGACGCCATTGTGGAGTAATTTTGCCGAGGGCGTATTTCTTATTCTGTATGACAGGATGTACCTTTTACACACGTCAGTGCGGAATCTGTGAATCATCCGTTAATGCAAGCCATGCCCGCGTTATGAGATTCACATTTATGCATTTAAAGACGAAAATAGGAGCGAATTTAGTCTTTAGTCTCCTCGCTTTACGACCGCGCCGTGCGTAATCAACTCCAAGGTCCGGATGCGAATCGGCACAGATATACTTACTCAGTAGTAGTAACAGAATCGACTTATTTCGCCTGTAGGACTATACTTTGTAAACAGACATGTACTCCGTTTAAAGTGTGTACTTTCTACAGTATTGCATGTGGTATCCTAAAATATAAAGATTTTTTTTAAAAAATAAAATAAAATAAAAGATTGTGTTTGATTACTAAACATCTACCACTGGACCCCAGGGAGAATACTCAAATCCAGCTCTGGTCACCTGTAATGAACCCCTTAGCCAGTTTCACGAGTTCCAGGGGGTGAATGAATAAAGAGAATGGGACTGAGATGTTTGGTTGTCAGGACCGATCACCTGATGGCG